CTTTGGTAAAAGAGTCAATCTTTTCTTTTTTGCCTTTGTAGTTGAACATCAAGCCTTCAGGTAGTATCCATTGGTAGGTAGTGGAATTTTCCCGTAAATAGGTGGTTAAATTCTTGTATTGTTTTCTCTTCTTCCTTACCTCAAATGGAATATCTTTTAGTATTCTGATGTCTTCTTCTTTAATTTTCAGTGTAGTCTCAGATGTTGCTTTCAATATTGCATCTCTTATAGATCTTTTATAGATCTCTTAGAGAATCTGATGTATATTTCACCAGGCAGGTTTTTTTTCTTAATATATAGGGGAGTCAATAAAATCTTTATACAAAAAAATATATATTCTGAATATGTCTGATAGATCATATCCATTTCGCTTTGTAATACTTCCGCCTTGATGCCTGTCACTGGTGCAAGTGCTTCACTAAGGATTTCTTTCAGATTCTCAGATTTGTCTTCTGGTACACCTTAAAATCTCAACACGTATGAAGTTTTTTCGATTTGTAGCTGCAAAAGTTGAGTTTTATCTGAAGATCTTTCTCTTTCCACAACTTCTAGTCTTTGATCAATTGCTTTAGTCTTGTTTTCAACTTCTTCTGTTATTTTATTGAATTCTTTTAGCTGTTTTTGTAAAGACTCCATGGTCTTGCTGATGTTAGTCATCTGAGCCACCAGAGGTCACAATGCAGTATCCAGCATGCCTGCAAAGTCCAAGTTCACTTCCGGTTTAGAAACCGGACGTGTTGAGCTGGCAGTTCCTTGTTGAAGCTTCGCTTTCACCACCATCTTTTAAGCCCGATAAGACATTGTTTATATTTTGTAAATGTTTGCTTAAGTCTATAGAAGTTTATTTGCTCTGTCGCCTTAACAGTCTGGCATTGTACTGATTAAAATCAGCCATCCGCTCAAATGCCGCCATTTTCTGCCCATTCCAATGCTTTTAAATCTTTGCCTTTTGGGGGGGGCGGCCGGGCTGGCATATTACTCATGCTTCGCTTCATCAGGTAAGAGAAAGTCTTTTTATTTTCACCAGGTCAGTTGCTTGCTGGTCCGGTATGTTTGTCTCATGCCCAGAATAGTACCACGGCAGCAGCGACCTATAGGGGCAGGGGGGAGTTTCTATCCTTTGGCCTTGGCTTTGGGAGAGGCACCCCCAGCACCCCAGGCTGAGAGCCCCCTACAAGGGCTCCAGGGGGAGTCCAGAACCAGCCAGACCCCCTCCCTGCTGCCGGGTCATGGGCCGCTCTCTCCAGCACTTCGGAGGAGCGCACCCGCCATCAACGCACCGAAACCAGAAGTTCGGGATGTGTACATTCGTGTACCATAAAAGATGACTGGATACTTGTCTTCATTTCCTAGCACCTGCATTGGTTTCAGACATACTTTGTTGTTAAATTGATTTGTGTCTGGCTCAGATTCTCACACATAAAAGGCTGTGTGTGTAAAAATACTCCACAAATAAGGCAAAGTTAGGGCAAGAGGTCTGATGGAACCACCTGTGACTAACCAGGTTCAATCAGCTTATTTTTCTCCCCCCCCCTTTTTTTTATTTGCATCATTCTTGCTTAAGAGAAGTCGGATGAGATCAAATGCAGTTAGCCATTGTTTCAGTTGGAGATTGAAGCCAAGGAGTTAAGCTGAGATTTTAACAGATCATTGAAATAACATTATGTGCACACTTCAGACAAATATGGTGAATCTTTTAACTTTTCTCTGGTGTTACAGTTCCATTTTAAATTTTACTTCCAAACTACTTTCAACCCATCATATACTGCAATCCTGTTTAGCATTATTCCAATATAAAACCATCAGTTTTCATGGGCTCAGGTACTGTAAAGATGACTTTATAAAATAAAACCAATTAGCACACATTGGCTTCATTAAGTTGTAATGGTTGCATCACAGCAGTGCTGTGACAGGCAAAATCAAGACTTTGTCTTATAATTCTTTCAGATGAATTAAAAAGGCTATTCTCCTCATATACATTCACGCTTCTCTCAGTTACCTGTGTAGATTGTCTAAGGAGAAACGCTGCGTGGAAAATCTCAGATAGCTTTCTTTGTAGAACCATATTGTCAGAGGATTCCAGTCCGTGACAAGAAACCATTGTCTGATATCAAACTTTGTATCATAAATCAGTAGTGGTGACTCAATGTACTTTTGGACCACCCATTTATGGTCCTTTATTGGAAACTGATCAGTTGGTTCAACCAGTTTCAATATATCCTGTAATCGTTTCTTACATACGATTTCTGGCAAAAGAAAAAACATGAGAACAAGCATGTTAATATCTAAACAAAGGACATTTTAAGGGGGGAAATGAAGACCTAACTAGACAGGAGTTGCATTGGGGTGGAGAAAATGAATACAGGGGACCTTTTCTCCCTCTCCCATAATACTAGAAGCTGGTGACACCCAGTGAAATTGTTGGGCAATGGTTTCAGGATGAACAAATGAAAATCCTTCTTCTCTCAACAATTAATTAAAATTCTGGAATTTACTACCAGCGGATGTAGTGATGAACCAGTAACCTAGATAACAGTAGTTGGAGATTAGACAGATTCATGGAGGAGACGTCCATCAATGGCTGCCAGTCATGGGCACTATAGGGAACTTCCATAGAGGCAGGGGTCATTTCGTAGAAAAAGAGGTGCAGGAGCTCATTAGCATAACTTATTTGCATATACCACACACCCCTGACATCACTGGAAGTGTGTCAGAAGGCAACACCCACCGCTCAGGCTCCACCCCAAGAATCTCCATGTATTTCCCAACTCAGAGCTGGTGAGCCTACCTGGAGAAAAATTGCAGAGCTGGAAAAAGTACAGAGGGCAACCAAGATGATTAGGGGGTTGTGGCACCTTCCCTATGAGGAAAGGCTGAAGTCTGGGAGCAAGTTTGGTGTAGTGGTTAAGTGTGCAGACTCTAATCTGGGAGAACCGGGTTTGATTCCCCACTCCTCCACTTGCACCTGCTGATGTGATCTTGGGTCAGTCGCAAGCTCTGGCACAGCTGTCCTTGAAAAAGAGCAGTTTGTGTCAGAGTTCTCTCAGCCCCACCCACCTCACAGGGTGTCTGTTGTGGGGAGGGAAAGGGAAAGGAGTTTGTAAGCCACTCTGAGACTCCAAGTGAAGGGCGGGGTATAAATCCAATCTCTTCTTCTTCTTCTCTTCAGTTTAGAAAAGAGAGGCCTAAGGGGGGACGTTAGGGGTTCATAAAATCATGCATGGGGTGGGCAGAGTTGACAAATAGAACTTCCTGTCCCTCTCCCAAAACACTAGAACTTGAGGGCATCCAATGAAGCTGATGGGCAGTAGGTTCAGGGCGGACAAAAGGAAATACCTCTTCACACAGAGAGATTAAAATCTGCAATTCATTCCCAGAGGATTTTGTGATGGCCGCAGGAAGAGACAGCTTTAAACGAGAATTTGATTGATTCATGGAGGGTAGGTCTATCAGTGGCTACTAGCCATGGGGACTGAGGGAAACCTCCATGTTCAGAGGCACTATACCTCTGAATCTGAGAACCAGACAGCAACATCAGGGGAAGGCCTCAGCCTCTATGCCCTATTGTTGGTCATCCAGAGGAACTGGTTGGCCACTGTATGAGACAGGATGCTGGACTAAATGGACTATTAGTCTGATCCAGCAGGGCTCTTCAGACAAAACTGGCCTTGACAGACCCTCTGGAAGGCACTTGCACACATACAGAGTAATGGGACTGGCTGCCCTGCAGGACTGTGGGTTTCCTGGTGATACCCAGCCCCTAGAACTGAACCTGGAAACTAACGGGGAGGCAAGGGAACAATTTCAAGAAGTGTAGCATACCATTCTCACTTTGCCTAACTCCAGATAGAAATTGAGTTATGGTGGTGTGTCTGCAATTCCTGAACTTAGAAGTTGTTTTCAAGGCCTATTCCCTATGGAGTGCAGGTTTGGGAGGAGATACCAAGGATAGAACCAGGGATCTCCTCTATGCAAAGGATCAGGTCGGTCACTGAGCTACGGCCTCTCCCTTAACATAGAAACGCCTCCCTCCCCACCCATGTGCCCAATGCATCTCATGTCTCTGTAAGTCAATGCAAGGCACTCTGTTCATGCTCAGAGACTGGAGGGAGATACGATTCTGGAAGGGGGGGGATCATGCAACCTACTACTACTATGCAACCACCACCACCCCCCAAGCCAAATGAATGGTCGCTGCATCTCCTGCACCCAAGTTGCACTTGCAGACTTTGTCCTGCTCCAAAGCAATCCCTCTTTCCATAACAAGGAAAAGAGATCAGGAAGGGAATCTCTTCCAGGCTCCTTGCTACAAATCCCTCCCCAGTTTAAGGGGCCAGAGCCAGCAATCCTCTTCAGGAGCAGAGGCCAGCCTGACCACCACCACCCTGCATGTGGGACCCAGAAAGACCCCCTTGAAGGGCTGCCCAGCCTCCGGGAGCTTCCCAGCAGCCACCATCCTGCAGCTCTTCTGAAAGGAAAACTTGGTCCCAACTGGAGGAGGACATCAGGGTTTCTCCTCCCCCTTTTGCATCCGGTCTGGGAATCACAACTCTTTTTAACCCTTTACTAGCCTTTGGTGGCCAAGACAAAGTCCTCTTCTTTTAAGGATTGCCCAAACAAAGGGAGTTTTAGTTTAGTTTATTTCTACAGTCCTTAGACTAGTCATACAAAAAGAAGTACACCTTTACAAAATTCCAAGATTTTAAAATACATCAGTAAAACATTAAAAGCAAAATTTAATCTAATATCAAACTACTATATCTATCTAGCCTTGGGGTTTCCGTGATCTGAGTATCACCATACAAAAACTGACTACTTGGTGGGTAATCTTGGAATTTCTATCAGATAGTAAGAACTTGAGTCTAGCTTTTTCGGAGAGGCCCAGAATTTGTTCAGTCAGCGATGTGATGATTTTATTACACGCCAAACAAAGGGGGGGAAATTAACATGCCCGCTCTTTTCAGCCGGCCAGGAACATCTCCTCTGTTAACTTTCCATCCCTTTTAATAGAAATAATAATAATAACTACTAACCCAAACCCCCCAAAAAAGAAAATGGCCGGGGGGGGGGGTGAAGAAACAGAGCTTCCTCCTTGAAGAGGACTTGAGGGGAGGGCTGAGAAAAAGAAAGGCAGGGAGGAGGGAGTTTGAAAGTGTGGGGGGGAATCTTGCGGGGGCCTGGCAAAGCCGCAGCGGGTGTGAAGTGGGCGGCAGCCCTGGGCACTCATTCAATGTCGGGGCCAAACAGAGGAAGGGAGAGGAAAGCAGTGAGTGAGGCAAGTTTTCGCTGGTCACTCCACTCATGAGGAGCTGCCGCCGCTGCTGCTCAGGACAAAAATAAAACAAATACTTACTTTGGGTGCTGGGGAGGCATCCAAGCGGCCCTGAAAGGGATCCCCAGCATGGGGCTGGCCTCTGCTCCTCCCCAGAGCCATCTGTAAGCAGCCCCCTCCCCGTTGAAGGTTGCAAGGGCCCCCTACCCTCCCTGCAGATGGTCCCCCCTCGCTTGCTCTCCAGCTGGGCTGCGCTCCCAGCTCCGGGGCGCACGAGGCTTGCGTCCACCAGGCTCCACCTAGCTGCTGCTCTCCACACTTTGCAGGAGGGCCCCACCAAGGACCACCGACGGAAGGACAATCAGCGTGGCTGCCAAGCCCCTTTGCACTTCCGGTGCAAGAAAGGTGGCTACGGATACTCTGGATCTTGGGGGGGAGGGAGGGGGCAGCAGAAGCCCCACTTGCCCACTGGGGGGGGGAATCAATGACCCCACATGGCTACTTTTCTCCCAGGGGGAGGACCCATGCTGTGCTACTTGTAGGACATGATCCTCTGCACGCCCCCAAATGGGGCTGGAGTGCAGGAGGAGAGGAGGATGCGGGTGGTAGATCAGGCTGCTCTGCTCTGCACGTATCCCTCCCAGGCCAGGCCTCCCCCCCTCCATCTGAACTCTGTGGGAAAAGGCACCATGCACCGGTGGCTCCACGCACTCCTGCACCCACCCGCCCAGGTCACAGCTGCAGAGCAGATGCACTGGACAACTCGGCGATGCCTTCCCTGGCATCAGAGGTCTTCCTTGGGGAGGGGGAGTTTCTTTCTTGCAGGGCAGAGCCTCAGGGAGGATTACCCGCCAACACTGACCCTCGCCAATGCCACCGGCCTTGGAAGGGGGGGAGAGAAAGGCCAGCGCCAAGCCTGCCCCGCGCGACCTGCCCCCATGGTGGCAGCGAGAGGAGCCCCCTGGCTGGTCTTCAGCAGCAGAGGCAGACAGGGTGCCTCCTCCTCCTCGCAGATGCCTGACTGGCCATGGCAGGAAAGAAGACAGGCAGGTGCCCAGGAGGGAGGTGCAGTGGGTGGCGGGGAACTGGCTTCCTTATTGCCGGAGCACTGCTCCGGCATGCTCCGGCAAAAACTGACCCCTGGTCAGAGGCAATAAACTCTGAAATTCACTGCTAGAAAGCAACATCAAGCTTTCTGTCTTATTTGTTGGCCCTCCAGGGCAACTGCTTGGCCACTCTGTGAAGCAATATGCTGAACTTAGATAGACCACTGGCTCTGATTCAGCAGGGCACATCTTATGTTTCCATGTACTTATAAGCTATGCTTGAAGCTCCTAAGCATTTTCTTTGTAAATAGTAACTATGTCGGGTTCTGATTTGGACTGGGACTGTACCATGGGTGAAGGAATATTTAACCCATGATGACCCGTTCATTTCTGTACCAATTCCAAATGAAGAACAACTGCATTGCGGAAGGGTAAGGGGGGGAGAACTGTATGCCTACCTCTGCCACGAGATTTTGCTCCAGGTTTGATAATCCAGATGTTGTGGAGACCATCAATATCATGCTGAGGATTTGCTAATATAATTTTATGCAAAATCTTTTGACACTGAATTAAATAGTTTTCTGCATTGCAAATCACAGCACCCTCACTGCAAACAATCCAAAATATTAAAATATTTAGTGCAGTTACAGATTAAAAATCAGTTATTTCAAACAAGGGGGATTGTGAATTAATAAAGGGGGAAATTCTGAATGAACTAAAATTATAGGTCCCACCAACTATAGGCCCATTATATTTTCAGTGGAACACACACTTGGGCTCTCTTTAGTTTTAATTGATTGCATGGATCTATTCTTGATAACCATTTTGATTTCACTAATAAACATGAAGACACAATGAACTGAACTGTATCCTTCCAGCTTTTCCATTGGTGATAGAAGGAGTAGGGGGCCCCTTCTGAACACTGAAAAGATTGTGTTGGAGATTATGGGAATCATGGACAAAAGTTAAATGGGAAGGTGGCTAGAGTGTAGAGAGGAACAGGAAGAGATTGAGTGGAAAAACTGGCAGGATCCAATCCATATTGTATGAAATTAAGGCTATAAAGGGGTAACGTGCATCATTAACTGTGTATTTTGAGCAGTGTGTGTTTGTATCCACCTTTCTCATTGAAACTCAAGATGGATTATAGTGTTTAAAAAGACAATGCCATAAATACAGTTTAATACATAGCATGGAAAATGCAGTAAAACCATATTACACAACTTAAAGAAAAATGAAATAGAAACAGTGTAATATATTACATAAATTGGATTGGATTTCTCATATAGAGAACCAAGATCCCATAAACTGGATGTAACAATTACAGGATGCTGAACTACAAAGTATAATCCATCCAATAAGCGATGCAGAATAAAGTATAGTTTAGAAAACTAATCAGTTTTAAGGAAAAGAAATATATGCAGTTCAATATCCTTTTCTCCCCTATCATCACACAGCCAACTTATGGCAACCCAATAGGGTTTTCAAGGCAAAAGTCATTCTGAGGTGGTTTGCCATTTCCTGCCTCTGCATAGCAACTATTTCTTGGTGGTCTCCTATTCAAATACTGACCAGGGCTGACCTTGCTTAGCTTCTGACATCTAAAGAGATCAGGCTAGTCTTTGCTACCCAGGTCATGATGCAATATTTATACAGTTCCATTAGAATTGTAATGGGTAAAGTCTTCTGGGCCTAATTCAGAATTGGATTCAATATATTGAGTTATTTTCCTGAAAAACTGGGAAATCCCATTTGGAAGCCCATTATGCTTTTGGTGAGTTTCTGAATGATCTCTTTGCCTAGTGAACCCCAAACTCTCCCAAGAGCTGCCGAACAGTGCTCCCATGGCTGCTTTCTCTGTTCTTCTATCTGGCTTTGCAACATTTTCAGTCACAACTACAGTAGTAGCAGCAAGATGAGGAGATCTGAAGGCCCAAGGCATCTCTCTCACTCATCTCTGGAAGCTAGAATGTTAATGTCCCACCAGAGCCGGTGCTACCATTAGGCCAACCTAGGCGACTACCTAGAGCACAGACATCAGAGAAGAGCAGAACTGATGGCAGGGGTGGGGGTGGGGCTACCTGGCGAGGCCAGTGCATGTCTGTGACGCAGGAGAACGTGGGAGGGAATGAATCAGCAGGGTGGCTGGAAGTACTTGGTTTATTTAGGGGGGAGGTCAGGGCTCTCTCGGGGGGGAGTGAGAAGTTGGGAGCTCAGAATCCTCTTCTGTTAGGAAGTTATCTGCAAAGTGGGATTCTTCCTCTCACCTCTCCACTCAATGCCTGTAGAGGGAAGCAGAGGAAACCCACCACTCTTGGTCCCCACCCAAAAAGCAGCCAAGTGGGGCCCCCCGGGGAAGGACCAGATTCTCTGCTGTGAAGGAGCCTGTGGAGTGTGTTTGTGGGGGGGTGTCCCTCTCCTCCTCCTGGGCCAGGGGAAGGCGGCTTGGCTTTGGAGAATCCGCCAAGAGGGTACCGGGTGCCTCTTCTCCCTCACCCTCATAAGAACATAAGAGAAGCCAATGTTGGATCAGGCCAATGGCCCATCCAGTCCAACACTCTGTGTCACGCAGTGGCCTTCCTCCTCCTCCTCTGCCCTTAATCTGGTGGTGGCTCCAGGGCTCAGGCTCCCTTCAGAGGGCTCCCAAAGCGGCCCTGGTTTACAGTTCAAGAGCTCCGTCTGACTGTCCGTCTTTTCGCGTGAAGGTTGAAGAGGAAGGAGAATCTGGTTGGCGAATGCCAAGTCGGGGGGGGGGTTTGAAACCCAGCTCCTGCCAGCTGCAGCCCCCGCCCTCTCCAGACTCCCTCCTAGTTTTGCGCTCCCCCCCCCCCCCCCCCCCGGCTCTCTCGCTCGCTCTCAAATCTGACCCCCGAGTGCAACTGGAGGAAAATACGTCTCTGCACTAAGAACTTTGCAGCTGCTCCCACACCTTTCCCTAAAACTATATGAATGCCCTACTTACAAGTCAACAATGGGATTCATCAACTAAGGCTGTCAGTAGATTACCTCAGCTACAGGTGGCTGAGAGATGGCAAGCTAAATTATTAAACACGTCGAAGCATCAGCACTGGACCTGAAGGAATTAGTGGCAAAAATTTGCAAAGGAAAAGGCATGCAAAATGAGATTTTGATGTGCCTGAAATGGAAACATTCAAAAGACTTAAATTTTAACATCACAATTCACAGGATTATTCAAAAGGATTTGTGATTTGTGTGCTAAAACTGTTTTCTGTTTGAGAAAGAAAATCAAAGATTGTTGTATTACTTATTCTCGCATTTTTTAAAAAAAAGTAGCAATTTTAAGTTTTGTGCTTTTCATTTTTCCTACAATTCATCTGTTTTTGAAAATTGGTTATCAGTGGGGGGGGGGCGGAAGTAGCTAGCCTTGCCTAGGGTGCAAAAAAGCCTGGCACCAGCCCTGTGTCCCACACTCCAAGGACCTTGGGAAATACAGTATTTTCCATGGAAAAATGCATGAGACCATAAGACTGACCCCTTCCTCTGGCCAAAAGACCAATATCAATGCAGAATAATACCACTGTTACAGAGAGACAGAGAAAGTACATGGGAGACTCTATGGTAGCAAAGATATGGTACAGCCAACAGTGTTGCAGATAGTGCCAGAAGGTGGCATACTTCAGACTTGCCCCTCCCTGCAAGAGGAACAGGATATAGTTCATTGGGTGATTAACAGGGATGAGCAATTGTGACAGGGAAACAACTTGGCTGGAGTTCCATGCCAGTCTTCCTGGGCATCTCCAATGGAAGATTTAGAGCAGTGATAATCACTCAGTGGTTTGGGAGCCACATATGGCTCTTAGATATGACACTTGTGGTTCTTCTGAGGATTGTTCCAAACTGTGGCACTTGGCCCATGTTTCAGGTCAGTGGGCAAGGTCATTATCCAGTAGGGATTGTGGCTGACAGGTGATTCTACCTTGAAACAGGCTGCTGGAAGAATTGATAAGTTGAGAGCCCCCCTGAGGCATAGACTTCATGCCAAGGATGGGAGTAAATGTGTCGGTTTGGACACTAATTGTGAATGTGGCTCTCCCCGAGCAGCAGAGTGAATAATACTGGGTTTAACACTTCACAGTTACTTCTTTAATACTGGATTTATACAACGTTCTTTTAAGAAAGTTGTAGTCTGTTTAATCCTATCTGGTTTCTGGCTTTTTATTACTTTATTACTGGCTTTTTTATTACTTTACTTTTGCAGTTTAGCAAGAAAGACAAAAGATATAACAGTGATGCTTAGCATGGTCACTGCACTTAGATTCAGAAAAGAAAACTTACTGAATGAGGGAATAGTACTGTTCAATTAATTGATCCCATTCTGTGTCAGAAAGCACTGAGGAATTCTCTGCCTCTATGTCAATGTCATCATGTTCAAGTTGCTGGATGTACGTTTCGCACACTTTGAGAGCCGTCTCTATTAATTCTCCCGGAAGTTCCTTAATGTTCCTTTCATTAGGATCTATGAAATACAACAAAGTATTCATCAGTAGCATACTCTCTTTCTGTTATTAAAGCTTTCTATGGCCAAGATTCTTTTGTTAGGACCACAGAAAGGGAACGACAGTTCAACCAACATTTGAAGGCAGTGTACATGCAATCAAGAAGGAAGAGTGTAGTGGTAAACAAAAGTGTGCATCATAATGTTAAGAGTCCTCAGCAGAGATATTTTCCTCAAGGATCCACTGTTCATGTACAGATCCATGTACCTGTCTGCAAGTGGAAAGGCCCAACTGTTCTGCAACTGAAGCCTGGTTCATCTATGCAAGGGGGGCTCAGAACTCTGTGAGTGCCTCCTTTCCCTCCCATGTACAACTTTGTATTGAAGCACCGGCCAGTATTGCATTAAAATCTCAGTGCCTGAATTGTGACTGTTAGATCTGAAAATGTCCCATTTTGACACCTTTCATGATATTGCGCTGTTTTTTATTATGCATGTGACCAGGGCTGGTGCTACCATTAGGCCAACTAGGAGGCTGCCTAGGGCACAGTCCTCAGAGGAGCGCAGACTGACAATCAGCATTAGGGTGTGAAATCTGTCACACATCTATCAGGTGTCAATTTTCTATTAGCAAAAGGAGGAAGTTGAGGGAAACAGTGTGAATCCTCCTGTCATAAATCTTCCAAGGGTGAATTCTCTATGCAATTGGCTAGAGCACAATTAGCAGTTAGCAGGAGAGGGGGAGTAAATGTTCCTGTTGCTCAACAATGCTGCTCTGCACATTGCTACAGCAGAGTTTCCCTACTTTCCTCTCCTTTCTTTGCAGCCATGACACATAATTACTGCAGAGGAGCCTTTTCCTTTGCAAATTTTGTCACTAATTCCTTCAGGACCAGGTCAAGTGCTGATGCTTTGGCATGTTTATTAATATAGCTTCCCCAAAAAAAGCACTGTATAAATAACACAATCAAAGGCACTATGCTGAAGTGCAAAGGAACAAAGAATATGTATATAACATAAATGTGTACAAACAGATACAATATAGTGTATACATATGACATACAACAACACGGAGTGTACAAAAGAAGCCGGCACACAGGACATAGGACTAAGACTTCGGATTCCAATCTTTGTTTCATTGATACTTCTTCCTTTGTACCATACAGCTACAATAATAATAATAATCAGCCCGGCAATTAGTACTAATATTTACAACTTGATCAAAGATACAACAAAGTTGCTCTGATAGCTATGATGCCAAATGCATGTTCCTTCCTGATGTATGTAGTTTGTAAGTGTTTGTGGAATTCAGAGCCTTACTGACAATGTAAGAATGTTTTCTATTGATGATCTGTTGCCCTGCTTAAACTAGCTTCATGTGAATTGTGATAAGCATTTTGTCCTTTTATAACATCTGTGTATAACATGCTTTTAAATTTTACAAAGGAAATACGAGAGCAACTTTGTTGTATTTTGTTATAGGATATTTTCCCCTGCATAAAAACATTAAGGCTTCTATATATTGAGCACTAGATGAAGGTAAATATTGTGAGTTCATAAATTATCTTTGATCAAGTTGTAAATATTCGTATTATTTGTCAGGCTGATTATTATTATTATTGTAGCTGTATGGTACAACTGAAGAAGTATCAACGAAACAAAGATCGGAATCCGAAGTCTTAGTCCTATGTCCTGTGTGCCGGCTTCTTTTGTACACTCCGTGTTGTTGTATGTCATATGTATACACTATATTGGAAAAATCATTGATGCACAATGGAAACAAAGATATTGATGCTGAAGATCTGTGCTGTGAACTTATAGCAATAGCTCAAAGACTTCCAAAGTCTATGCCTCCACAAGGAGTACTTCTCTTCATACTGCAACAAAAGTTCCTGGATAGTGTGCCTATGTTTCTATTGCTCTAAGGATCCTTTTCAAACTTCCAGTATAAGTGGCAAGTGGTGAATGCAGTTTCTCAAAGCTCAAACTTATAAAAATGTACATACACTCAACAATGCTGCAAAAGAGACTACTTGGCTTGACAGCTTTATTAATTGAACATGCCAAAGCATCAGCACTTGACCTGAAGGAATTGGTGACAAAATTTGCAAAGGAAAAGGCACGCAAAATGAGACTTCTATTTTGTTGTTGTTTGTTTGTTTGTTTTTAACAATGGGTGGGGGACAGTGTTTCCAAGGCTTCAAAATTTTCAGAAATTTTATATCTAAAGTCTTTTTGCCAGAAAACTTCTAATATGTGGAGTTGTTGTCATCCAAACAAACTCTATCATTTGTTATAATCAACGTTTCTTTTAGCTTGGAGAAAAAGTTTGTTAAATGAGATTTTCCTAGGGAATGGGTATTGTCATGACTAGTGGTTGAGAAGTTGAAATTCCTGGGGAAATGACTGCATTGAGAAATTTCTGCAATTAGAATTAATGAGGACTGCTAGAAAAGAAGCTTCTCCACACTTTTAAAAATAGTTTGGGTCAACATTACAAGGTCTAGATTGCCTGTTCAAGAATCAAGAGTACATACATCATGATATTGTGAGATATATCAAGTGGATCCAATGGTAGATTTTTGCTAATGGAAGGGAAAGCAATTTTCACCAAGTCCCCCCTTCCACTGCAGACCTCTGATTCATGCTGATCCTGAGGTTCCTGATCCACCTGAAGCAGCCCTTCAGGGAGCATTTCAGGTGGCACTGGAAAAAGAAAGGCCCCAAAAAAATCCCACTCCACTGGTAGAAATCCCTTCCATTGTTGGAAATTACCACTTGATGCAGTCCATCATGCCATCTTTTTGCTCTCCTGATGATGTCCTTTGAATATATGTACCATCTGAAGTGTCTGCTTTATGCCTGTATGTGTGAACATTTCTAAAAGGTGAGAAGGCAGTGGCTGTGTCATAGCCTGGAGTACCCTGAATGATAAGAGGACATATCTCTAGATGCCTTTAAAGATAGAGTGGATTTTTTCTTTTCAGGAGAAGAACAAATGATTTGAAAAGAAACAGAACCTAAAAATCACTATTTTATAGTAAAGTGTCTTGACAGATTATGGAAACTTGACAGATTATGGAAACAACAAAACTAAGTCACCCACAGATGGGTTAGGGGTCAGTACCTAGTCAAGAAATACCCCAGGTATGCAGAAAATAGGGTTAAAAACTAACACCCACTCACACGCACAAAATGTGATCCAAGCATGCATGCACAGTATCTTCCCCCTCCATCAAAATGAGTGGGGAAGACTACTTGGGCAGGGACTCCATGTTTGCATCTAAGCACCACACAGGACTCCCAAGTAAAGATAATAGCAAAAATGATTATTTTGGATGCTAGGCAGCACACTATTGTAGATTTCAGCATCTCAAAAAGAGAAAATCTTTGTACTTCTAAGCCAAGATCTGAAGAAATACAAGAATATTGAATCAACATGTCTGTATCAGCTTGTTTATTAAGAATGGCATAGCAGGTTTTCCCTATTTCAGTCAATTCTATCTAATGGATATTTTTCCTTTGTAAGATTAACCAATGTAAATGCTACCTGTTGTCCCAGATTTTGTATGTAGGCTTCCTGTACTTGACTGGTCATGATCACCAGATCTGTCCAAATTGACAACCCATTTTAGTATGGAGGATGCCGCTGTCTTCCTGAAGTCCTCTAAAACAAAGGCCACAATATTATTTTAGAGTATATCCCATTGAATAATGCACACAATAAAGGAAAATTTAACTGGGCATGTAATGCAAATTTGGAAAAACCATCACCAAATCCCTATAACATCAGTTAACAATATTGTTATTTGCTTGCTCCATACATGCCAAGTTGCAAGAAATACAGAAATCTAGTTGGGGTTTATTTTATTTCGTCATTTAGGTATTTATATCCTGCTTTTCTACTAAATGGGGACTCAAAGCAGCTTATGTCAGACTCCTCTGATGGATTTAAAATGCAGCCCTTATTCAACATCTCCAAAACAGCATGAGTAACTTATAATGAAATAGATTAGGGCATTTGCAATGAATAACAATAAGGACAAAATGGTTTAACAGACTAAACTACTTTGGTTCAGATCTTGTCAGATTAGCTCTGATGTGATATTGCTGAGGGAATTCCTAAGGCAGTGCTACAAGATTCAGTTTCTTTGGCTAAGAAAGAGAGTGAGATTACTGGAGATTTACAGTGCAATCCTAAACTATACTACTCTAGGGCCATTGGTTTCAGTGGACTTAGAAGGATGTCACTCTGCTTTGGATTGCAGTGCCTTGGTACAATACTTGTTTGATTTATACATATTCAGCAGAATATAATGGAAGCAAATAGACTCCTTTAGCAGACAACAGTCATTAATCATGTCCCAAAAGACATTAACTACATCTCAGAGTTATCTCTTTCTCAACTTAACACTAAGTTTAGAGGTACCATATTTTCCAAACTCTGAGGGTTATCACAAATAGAGATATTGCACCATGCCTTCCCTCCCCCAAGATGGGCACCAGTAGGAAAAGGTCACAAAAGTCACAAAATTTGGAGGTGATTTCTGCACAGTCTTGGTGGGTCGGTTGCCCAGCTATAGGCAGAGGGGATGGTTAACTCCAAGAGACAAAGAAGGAGCTGTGGTGTTTTGTTTTTCCTGAGGAAGTGACAATCCAGAAGTTGTGTCTTGCCATTGACATGTAATGTAAAGCTTGAAACCTCAGCTGGATTGTAATCTGGAACAACACCATTGGCTGAAGCATGTACGGTAGCCAATGGAATGTAAGAGTCTGTGCTGGAGGGAAGACAAATGATTGGGTGTTATCGCTGTAACCTGATTGGATGTTAACTATGTGAGGGTGTGGCTACCCCAGCCCGGGAGAGCTTAAAAGGAGCTATGCTCCACTGTTTGTTTGTCGTGTGTCGTCTGATGCTGTGTGATCTTTGGAAGTTCTCGTTCTCAATAAAGCTGAATCACTTGTTACTTACTTCGTTGTCGAGTTGCATACTTAACACCAGAGAAGGCAATTTGTGGAGCAGTGAGAAGAGCATTTGGCATTTGGCAGTACAATTACCTTCTTCTGGCATGGACTCTTTGTTCTGGAGTATTTTATGAGTTGCTGTGGGGAAAAGTTGCTTCTCAGAGCCCATAAAGAAGAGAGACATTGCCAAGCATCCAGACCTTCCTGGAGTTCACAAGGCTAAGACTTATTAACTTTCAGGTGTGGTCTGAATTTCTCCTAGAATTAAAACTAGTCTCCAGACAACAGAGATCAGTTCTCCTGGACGAAGTGGCAGCTTTGGAGAACTCCAAAGGATGATAAATGGAAGTACTAGTTTGAGATCACATCCCAAGTAAGCTCCTTCCCTCCTCAAATTCTGCACAATACACCTGACATAAGTCAGGTTGATGCATGACCAGATTCACAGTCAGACATACATCAGGGAACTCAGCTGAAAAAGCGTTTGTTCACTTGGCAAAGTGTGTGTGGGGAAGAGCTCTTGGTTTCCCTCCCACCCTGCTTTTACCAGCAGGAAGGGCAGTGGGTAGGGCTTTCACCCCTTTTTTTTCTAGCTCCACATGCCCTAGGAAGGACAAGTGGAGCCATAGAAAAGTGGCCAAAAGCCCCCCACTGCCCTTTCTACTGGCAAAAGTGGAATGGGAGGGAAACCAAGAGCTCCTTATTTCTCCTCCCAGAGATCCTTCACAGCACTGAGCAAACAAGTGCTTTTTCAGGTGAGTTCCTCTGAGATACATCTGGCTGTGAGTCTGCTTGCACACCTGTGACCCAACACATGTTGACACAAGGGTTACACCCTCCGTTTGGATTTATATGGTCAGCTCTAAAATGAGGAGGTGAGCCGATGGCTTCAGGTGGTGAAGGGGGGGGGGGAGCAGCCTTTACTACCACCACTTCAACACAAGAGTTTGGTGCAGTTTGCAAGACTCTCTTTGAAGATACATGAGAAACCAAGTAGGTAAGGGACATTAGTTCCTGGACAGGGTGAGGGAAGTAGGAGAGCAGCAAGATGTGATGGGCAGTGAGAGGCTAGGGTAATAAAAGGTGATAGCAGCAAACGATGGCTACCTCAGGTGGTGTTATGTATTGAGCCTAGCCTTTCCTCTAGCTGTACCTAGAACGGGCTGAGCTTGCTTCTCTAGAACAATAGCTCACCTGGATCCAGGAACTAACCAATAGATAAGCAGTGTAATGTAAATAGCCTATAACTGGGAGTGGGGGGGGGGTTTGGGTGTGGTGTTTTGCATGCTTATAAGCAGGGCTCCAGTCCTGCCAGCTTGTCTTGTAGTTTGCTGAAATCACTTAATAAACCTGAGCCGATCACTGCAATGCATCTAGAATCTAGTATTTAACAGGTGGCAACCTTTGTTAAGCCACCACTGGAATATGACAGTGATCCTCAACATGGTTGCCCACAGACACCATGGCACCAGAGATGACCTTGTTGTTGGCACTCCTTTGTTAACTTTCTTCCAAAAGCATTTCTTCTCTATAGCTTTTCTCCACCTCATATTATCAAGAGATGCCTCAGAAGGGCCCATGAGGCATCACCTTTGTATTTGCAGGGAGCATCTGTTCAGAAATAGCTGCCTCAAACAGAGGAAGATCCTTAACATGCAGGCCTTTGACATTTTGTGGTCGGTCCTGGTCCCCATGGCAGCCATTTTAGTGACTAGCCTCAACCCCATGGCAACCATTTAGTGACTAGCCTCAACCCCCTGGCAACCTTTCTTTGGTTGTGCTCACTGTTTAATTTCAAAGTTCCCAACGATTGCTCACTGAGTCACCAAGATTTAGGAACCGTGGAATATGCCAAGTGGGGATGGAGCATCACACATGCCAACACTGTGGTCAGTTCTTACCAAAAGCCACGCTTAAGCTCTGTGTTTATTGTCAACCTGCAAGAGTCAGTGAGCACTGGGTCTTCAGACAACAAAATAATTCAGCACATGTTAAACAGTACACATAATATAATTCCATCCTTTCAAGGCTATAGCTATGTAATGTTTTAAAGACCAAAACAGGAAATTCAAAACTCACGGATAAAGTCATATTTTTCATCATCAATGCAAATGGCATAACATCGAGGGAAGAAAGCATTTGGGTTTGCTGACACATACCATGGCAAATTCCTCATGTGCAAACAAAGTCCAATCTTTAAATGAAAGAAACATGTTAGTTAGGATTTGTATTTTAACACAGCATACAAGTCAAGATGAGGCACAGTTATGTGATTCCAGGGGAACAACTTTTTTTGTGTGAGAGGGGAAGGTGCATGCTGAATTCTTCAACCTAGTGGCCTATATTTCCAAGCAACCTAGCTGCTGCCAAGTAAACTACCTGGTGGAGACTAAAGACTTCAGGTTGGAGCCAAACTAAATTTTCCATCAGCTCAACAGAACTTTCCTGCCTCTAACTTCCCACTGGAACCCAGTGATTTCCTCAAAATGGTGCTCTTGTGGGATGGGGGGTCATAAGGAAATACATGAGGGTCGTCTGCAATGAAAACAGGGAATTGGTAGAAATTGCTACCAATTCTTACAGGCTGTCTGGCTGCAAGACTTTTGTCTTGTAAGAATCTGGTGCACAAGGCTTCAGAAGTTGGCTATTGTTGGGATAATTTGTTAGTTGAAGTGCCCACGAGTTCTTGTATTGTGAGAAAGGGAGAAAAGTACCTCTTTCTCTACCTGCTCTATCCCATGCATAATCTTATAAACTTCAATAATGTCACCTCTCAGCCGTCGTTTCTCCAATAACATCATCAATAGCACTGTCTAACATAGTGTCAAGTTCCACAGAGAGAAGGTGAGGATTCCTAACAGAATGTCAGGTTCCACAGCCAAACAAAGGAGTACACGCTTAACATAAGGTTATACTTTATTGCAAGAGCTATAGAGGCAGTAACATCATCACTGTTAGGAATGGTTACTTTTCTACAAGCATAAAGGGATATAGGGTATTCGCGCACACACACACTCCTAGGCCAATCAGCCTGATTCCCGCACGGGGGGAGAATGGGGCCCCAGGCCGTTAAAGCCAAAGCTGGGAATCGAAACCTATCCCACAGGTAATACATGGGAAGACACTACACAGACAACTAGCTAGCAAGGTCATAGATAAGCAAGGACAAAGGAATGCGGCAGTTAGTTCACAGGTCAAGTAGCTGCACTCTCGCCAATAAACATCATGGCAGCATAGCTGACACATAGCACAAATGCATCAATAACACTGTCTAACCATCTCATCCTTTGCTGTCCCCTTCTTCTTTTACCATCAGTCTTTCTCAGCATCAGGATCTTCTCCAGTGAGTGCTCCCTTCTCATTTGGCAACCAAAGTATTTGAGCTTCAGCTTCAGCATTTGGCCTTCCAGGGAACAGTCAGGGTTGATTTCTTTTAGGATTAACAGATTTAATCTCCTTGCAGTTCAAGGGACTCTCAAGAGTCTTCTCCAGCACCATAATTCAAAAGCATCTTTCTTCGGCGCTCGACTTTCCTTATGATCCAACATCGCAGCCATACATTTCTACTAGGAATACCATTGCTCTGACCATACGGACTTTTGTTGTCAGGGTGATGTCTCTTCTTTTTATTATGCTGTCTAGGTTTGCCATAGCTTTCCTCCCAAGGAACAGGCATCTTTTAATTTCATGGCTGCAGTCACTCTCTGCAGTGATCTTGGATCCCAGGAACATGAATTCTGTCACTGCTTCTATAACTTCCCCTTCTATTTGCCAAGGAGTGATGGGGCCGGATGCCATGATCTTAGTTTTTTTTTATGTTGAGTTTCAAGCCAACTTTTGCGCTCTCCTCTTTCATCCAAAGCAGGAGGCTCTTTAGGTCCTCTTCACTTTCTGCCATTAGAGTGGTATTGTCTGCATATCTGAGGTTGTTGATGTTTTTCCCAGCAATCTTAATTCCGTCTTGTGATTCATCCGGGTTGGCATTTCACATGGTGTACTCTGCATACAAATTAAATAAGCAGGGTGACGATATACATCCTTCTTGTACTCCTTTTCCTATGCTAAACCAATCAGTTGTTCCATATCAAGTTCTAACTGTCGCTTCTTGATCTTCATACAGGCTCCTCAGGAGACATGTGAGGAGGCATGTGAAATGAGTGCAACTGTGCAATAGTATGAACACTCCTTGGCATTGCCCTTCTTTGAGATTGGAAGGTAAACTGACCTTTTCCAATCCTGTGGCCACTGTTGTGTTTTCCAAATTTGCTGGCATATTGAGTGCAGCACTTTAACAGCATCACCTTTTAAGACCTTGAATAGCTCAGCTGGGATATCATCACCTCCGCTAGCTTTCTTGTTTGTAACGCTTTCTAAGGCCCATTTGACTTTGCACTCCAGGATGTCTGGCTCGAGGTCAGTGATCACACCATAGTGGTTGTCAAGGACATTGAGGTCCTTCTTGTATAGTTCTTCTTTGTATTCTTGCCATCTCTTCCTAATCTCTTCTGCTTCTGTTAGGTCCCTACCGTTTTTGTCCTTTATCATGGCCAGTTTTGCATGGAACGATCCCGTGATTTCTCCAGTTTTCTTGAAGAGATCTCTAGTCCTTCCCATTCTATTGTTTTCCTCTATTACTTTGTATTGTTCATTCAGGAAGGCCTCCTTATCTCTCCTTGCCATTCTCTGGAAATCTGCATTCAGTTGGTTAATCTTTCCTTTTCACCTTTGCCTTTTGCTTTCCTTCTTTCCTCAGCTATTTGTAAAGCCTCATCAGACAGCCACTTTGCTTTCTTGCATTTATTTTTCTTTGGGATGGTGCTGATTGCTTTCTCCTGTACAATGTCACGAACCTCTGTCCATAGTTCTTCAGACACTTTGTCTATCAAATCTAGTCCCCTAAACCTATTCTTCACCTCCACTGTATATTCATAAGGGATGTGATCTAGGTCAAACCTGAATTAGCCTAGTGGTTTCCCCAACTTTCTTCAGTTTAAGCCTGAATTTTGCAGTTTTGCTTTAAGGTGAATTTTGCTTTAAGGTGCTACTGGACTCTTACTCTTTCTACTGCTATTAGAAACCACAACATTCAAAAATCAGTGGGGGGACATTTTAATCTCCCAGGACATTCAGTTGCTGACATAAAAGCAGTTCTCTTACAAAGGAATTTTAAAGGGAGATTAGAGAGACTGCTGAATTGCAAATGAAAATGAAGCTTAAGACAATGCTTGCTCCTTGACTGAATTGAGACCTAGGTTTCTTCTCTCATTACCAATGCATGCTTTTGTCATTTGGCGTCTCAAATCACTTCACTCTCCAAGATATAAGGACAGATGGACTCACATTCTAGCTTTATCTGAAGAAGTGAGCAGTGACTCATGAAAGCTCATGCCTTGCCACAAATTTTGTTAGTCTTTAAGATGCTACTGGACTCTTGCTGCCTTCCACTAATAACCATTACAAGCAGGGCCAGTGCTACCATTAGGCCAACTAGGCAACCACCTAGGGCGCAGACCTCAGAGGAGCACAGAACTGACCCAAGCAACATGCGCAGATGAATCTGCCTCCAGCATGACCTGGTCTTCTTCTCCCAGTCCTCTGCTTCACTCTCTCTCTCCCCCCCCCCCCAGTTCCTCAATGCAGCTGCACCAACCTGACCCCTTCTTCTTCTTCCAATTCCTTTGGCAGGTGATGAAAGACTGGCAAGAGGGAGCAAGGCTTCCTGGTGCCTGCTCCCAGTGGGCACCACCCCTTTCAAACCTTGCATTCACACATTCCAAGTCTCCAGTGCCCACATGCACCCAGTTGATGTTGCTGCGCAGGGTAAGAAAAGCTGGAGCATGTTTATGACTTGGGGGAAGGGGGGTCGAGCTAATTCATGGGGGTCATCAGCCTGAGTGCATGGGGGGGAGGTCACCCCCGGCTGGCCCTCTGTAAAGCATGGGTGCTGCTGTCTGCTCCTATCATTGGGGAAGAGGGAAGAATCGCCCTGGGGATTGAGGGAGGGGTTAGTCCCCACTGCCGCCGCCACCCAATCTGTTAGAACTGGAAAGGAGGATCACTCCAAATGCTAAAGGACTCTCTCTCTCTCTCTCCTGCTGTCTCTGACTCATTCCCTCCCCCTCCCTTCCTCCCTCTTTCTGAAGAAGTGTGCATGCACACAAAAGCTTATCCCTGGAATAAAACATTGTTGGTCTTAAAGGTTCCACAGGACTGACTGACACACTCTCTCTCTCACTCTCTCTCTCTTTCCTCCCCCTCCCTTCCTCTCCAAAGGAGGAGGAGGAAGAGGAGCTCTCAGCCAATTGAGGAAAAGGAGGCTTGGCTTTTTTTATCTCCCCTGGAAGCAGGAAGCTGGAAAGAGCTGGGCAAAAGTGAGCTGCAATGCAGGAAGCAGGAGGGAGCCAGTTGCTCACAGTCTGGATAGGAGTCCTGCAAGGGCCAGTTCTGGCCCACAGGCCATATGTTTGACACCCCTGACCTAGAACATGGTTCTCCACTTCTCCATTTCATCCTACAACAATCCTGTGAGAGAGGCCAGGCAGAGGGAAAACACCTGCCATAAAATCACCCAGTGAGTTTCATGATCAGTGAGGATTTGAACCTGGCCCTTCCAGGTGTAGTCCAACTCCCTAACCACTATACCACACTGTCTCTAAGAATGTAATCTTCTAAGGATCACTATTTACAATACTCACTTTGGTAGTAAAGGAGCCTGTTCTTGCATAATGATTGAGCATCTGATCACTGTGGAGACTATAATAATCAACTGCATCTTTTTTTATAGTCCAATAGAAGGATGTTTCTTCATTTCTTACCAACCTAGACTGGCCGAAAAAAGACTGTGTATTATAATTCCACATGGGAGATGTTACCCAGTGACAGCCAATGTTACTGAACTGCCTTTTTTTCTGCAATGCTACCATGACAAAAGCAGTTCATTCATTTTAGGAGAACATTGTACATCTAGTGGCTAAGAGCCAAATCAGAGCAGTTTTTCTTCACTTCACAGGCTTGACTATATCAAAAGGTAAGGTCATGTGATAAGTAAACCCTGCTGAAGAAACTAAACAGTCTGATTGTATCAGATTGAGACATCATTGCGGAGACAGTAAATCAAGAGGCTAAATATATTATGATCCCCGTCATGGTGCCAGCCAATGTATACTCCTGGACCCATTCCAGTACAGTTTCTGCCCTGGCCATGGGATGGAGACAGCGCTGGTTGCCCCCACAGAGGATCTCCAGAGGCATCTCGATCCAGGTGGGTCGGCGCTGCTGCTGCTACTTGACCTAACAGTAGCATTCAACACAGTCAGTTATGATCTTCTGACTCACCACTTCACCAACATAGGGATATGGGGGGCTGCCTTGCAGTGGCTGTCCTTCTTTCTCCATGGTCAGGGACAGAGGGTGCTGCTTGGGGAGACGGTATCTCCATGTTACCCCGTGGTATGCGGCATCCTACAAGTGGCGATCCTCTCCCCAATGCTCTTTAACATCTATATGCGCCCCCTCATCCAGCTAATCTGGGGGTTTCAGCTGGGCTGTCATCAGTGTCTGCAGATGGACAGCCAGCCTGACTCCGCCCCACATATTTTGGCCAGGGCTCTGGAGGCTATGGCTGGTTGGTTGCAAAAGAGCCAGCTGAAATTGAACACAGCAAAGATGGAGGTCCTGTAGCTGGGTCGTGGGGGGATTGGATGGGGAATCCAATTCCCAGCCCTTGGCGGGGCATCATTGATGCTGACCCCAACAGTGAGGAGTATAGGGGTGATTCTGGATGCCTCCCTTTCTATGGAGGCATCCAGAATGTTGCCAAGTCAGCCATTTACCATATTTGGCTGGTCAGGCAACTGGTCCCCTATCTCTCCCCCCATGACCTGGCAACAGTGATCCATGCCATGGTCACTTCCAAGCTAGATTACTGCAACTCACTCTGTGCAGACCTACCCTTGAGCCTGACCCAGAAACTTCTGCTGGTGCAAAATGCAGCAGTGCGCCTATGCAGATGTACATTCGGCCAGTGCTGTGCCAATTGCCTTGGTTGCCAGTTGAGTACCAAATCAAATTCAAGGTTATGGTGCTAACCTTTAAGGCTCTATGTGGCCAGGGACCAGCATATCTATGGAACCATCTCTCCCTGTATGTGCCCCAAAGAGCCTTGCGCTCTTCTGAGCAGCAGCACCAAACTCAAGGACATCTGCCTCACCTCAACCAGGGCCAGGGCCTTTTCAGCCCTGGCCCCTGCCTGGTGGAACATGCTCCCAGTAGAGATCAGGGCCCTGCAGGATTTATTACAATTCCGCAGGGCCTACAAAATGGAGCTGTTCCACCAGGCTTTTGGCTGAGATGGTGGATTTCCAAATAATGCCAGCCTTCCCTGCTAATCTGCTTAGTTTATTAATTTCTTTCAACTGCCTTAGGGCACTGCCTATACCAACTGGGCACCAGTATCAGCTGATTCTGGTTACTCTGAGAGGAACATCATACCTCACCTGACACTGTTGCAGCATTGTAATGTAGTTAGAAATTTTAGACTGCCATAAGGTATTAACATAATGTATTTTATTCTGAGATGGTAGATGGGGTGAAGGTGGCGGGGACCTTAGGGGGGAGTGACCATGTCCTACTAGAATTCCTTTTGCTGTGGGGGACCAAGAAGGTTCATAGGTTTCAGTAGGGCAGACTTTAATAAACTCAGAGGCATGATGAGAATCATTCCATGGGCAAGACTGCTGGAAGGGAAAGAAGCAAGTGAAGGGTAGGCTCTCCTAAAACGAGAGCTCTTGCAAGCTCAAGCCATAACTATTCCAACAAGAAAGAAGAAGAAGAGATTGGATGTATACCCCGCCCTTCACTACCCAGAGGCTTACAAACTCCTTTCCTTTCCCCTCCCCACAACAGACACCCTGTGAGGTAGGCAGGGCTGAGAGAGCTCTTTCGAGGACTGCTCATGAAAGAACAGCTCTGAGAGAACTATGGCTTGCCCAAGGTCATCCAGCAGGTGCAAGTGGAGGAGTGGGGAATCAAACCTGGTTCTCCCAGATTAGAGTTCACACACTTAACCACTACACCAAACTGGCACTCACGGTAAGGGATCAAAGAAGCCAGTGTGGATGGACAGAGAATTGTGTGATGTGTTAAGGGAGAAAAATAAAATGTTTAAGAAATGGAGGCAAGAACATACCTCTAAAGAAGAGTATCTGCAGGTTGCTAGGCTCTGTAGGTCAGCCATCAGAGAGGCCAAAGCTCACAGTACGCTAAAGCTGGCCAGAGAGTCTCGCTACAACAAGAAAATCTTCAGATATGTGAGGAGCAAATGCAAGATAAAAGAGGTGATGGGCCCACTGTTGGGCGAAAATGAAGAAACTTTAACAGAGGACAGAAAGAAAGTAGACTGGCTTAATGTCTATTTTGTCTCAGGTTTTTTTCCCCTGAAGAAGAAAACAGGCTCATCTAGAGATGGTAGTAGGCAAGGCACGGCATCTGGGCTGCTGGTTAACATGGGCAGAGAGGTAGTTGAGAAGCACCTAGCTGGACTGAATGAGTACAAGAGTGCTCAAAGAACTTTCTAGAGAGCTTGCAGAACTGTTGTCCATCATCTTCCAGTCCTCTTGGAGGTTGGGAGATGTGCCACAAGACTGGAGGAGGGTAGATGTTATCCCAATTTTCAAAAAAGAGGAGGGATGACCCAGGAAACTACAGGCTACTCAGTCTTACCTCTGTCACAGGGAAGATACTGGAGCAGATTTTAAAGGGATCGATCTGCGAGCATCTAAAGGACAACTTGGTGATCTGGGGAAGTCAGCATGGATTTCTCCCCAACAGGTCTTGCCAAACCAACCTCATTTCTTTCTTTGATTGAGTGACATGTTTACTGGATCAAGGGAATGCTGTTGATGTTGCTTATCTGGATCTCAGTAAAGCCTTTGACAGGGATCCCTATGATGTTCTGATGAGTAAATTAGAGGACTGTGGACAGGACTGTAGGATACATAGGTGGATAGGGAACTGATTGGGTAACTGCATTCAAAGATTAGTTATCAATGTCATTTCATCTGAACGGAGGGAAGTGTCTAGTAGGGTGCCAAAAGGCTGAGTTCTGGGCCCAGTACTTTTCAATATTTTTTATAAGTGATCTGAATGATGGTGTGGAGAGACTACTCATTAAATTTGCAGATGAGTAGGAAAAATAATTTTGCCAGAAGAAGACTCTCTCAAAACACACAATTTTTGCCTGGGTGGCTTGTCGCTTAGCTGCTTGCTGTATCTCTTTTTGGAAAGTATAACAGCCTGCTGCATCTTTCATCATTGATGACTGCTGCATCTCTCAACAGTCTCTCATCAGAAGCAAGATAGTCTACAGCGCTGAAACCTGTCTCTGTAGCTGTGGTCTTTTCTACTAGATATATAATGTTCTTTAGGCTTTTGTACTATAATGAATAAGATACACTAGGGTCCCTATCGTATACAAGTATATTATTTATATCAATATATGAAGATAATAGCATAATAGTATTGTGTGTTTTGTTCTAACATGGTGTTTTTCTACGTTTGCTCAACCTTGCCATGTTTCCTGTGTGTTTTGTTGTAACCTCCAGGTAGCACCTGAAGATCTCCTGCTATTACAATTGATCTCGATCAAGATAATTTCCCCTGGAGAATATGGTTGTTTTTTGAGGGTGGACTCTATGACAAACCCTGCTGTGGTCCCTCTGCTCCTCAAACATTGCTCTCTCCAAGCTCCACCCCCAAAATATCTGGGTATTTCCCAATCCAGAGCTGGCAACCCTATGCTTGACCCAGGGTGCTGTTTTATGGACCGTAATGTTTTTGTAAGTATGTTTTATCTTTCTTGATAGATTGTTGTGAGGGGCCCCAAGCCCTGTGGCCCAGGGAAGGGGTGGGATATAAATCTAAATATAAATAAAATATGGCAGCAAAATTATATCTTGCAGGAAGTTTCAGAATACCTTGAAACAGCCCTGGCAGATTCCATGGCAGGTAGGGTCAAGCCAGACATGTTTTGTGGTACCATCAGGGGTCTGATGGGGCCGGAGCTCTCTGGAGCGCCGCTCTGGGAGTGAAAAGCCCAGGGGGCGGGGCTTCCAGGGGCGCGGAGATCTGCGGCGCCCCGGGAGGCCCAACTACCTCTCCCTGTGCTTCCCAGGGCCACAGAGATCCGCGGCGCCCAGGGAGGTCTGGCCACCCCGTCCCAAGGTTCCCGAACTGGAGCCTTGAACTGGCTTGGCTGGTTGCCTGTGAGTCCCCGTGCAGAAAAAAAAGCCCTTGAGTGAGTCCGTTTTGAATTTGTTTGTTTTGGTGGTGGTGGGGAGCTGGCATGCCCACATGGAGCCTTGAACTGGCTTGGCTGGTTGCCTGTGAGTCCCCGTGCAGAAAAAAAGCCCTTGAGTGAGTCTGTTTTGAATTTTTTGCTTTGGGGGGGGAGCTGGCATGCCCACATGGAGCCTTGAACTGGCTTGGCTGGTTGCCTGTGAGTCCCCATGCAGAAAAAAAGCCCTTGAGTGAGTCCATTTTGAATTTGTTTCCTTTGGTGGTGGAGGGGGAGGATATCCATAATTACATGCCTGAGAATTGAGTGTTGTTGTTTTTTTAATCTCTATTCCAGAGACAGAATTCCCAGTGCATATTTGGCTTGGACTGTAGTTAATTTCTGTTTTTACACATTCTAAATGTAAATAATCTGGGATGTGATTTTGAGTGTAAATCAGTATACGTGTACTTGATGATCAGAAATTTAAGGAACACTGGACTAAATCTAGCCCTGCAGTCTTTTCATGGAAGGATGCAAGAGATTTCTGCACTACCTATTGTTTTAGTGCACAATCAGATGTCAAGGAAATAATACCCCCAAAAACAAAATGTTACAATAATTACTTCAGTAATCTTACCATTATTTCATGGATGTCACCTGAATTGTTATAAGGAATTTCCTCTTCACGTAGGGCAGGTTTGCTTTCTTCAAGGAAATTGTATAAAACAACAGAACAGCAATAAGTGTACTATAGACAAACAGGCTGCAGCAAAGCGAGGTAAACAACATTTCTAAGAATATTTGTTTGTTTGTTTAATAGATTTAATATCCTGCCTTATCTACTCAGACTCAATGCAGCTAACAGGGGAGCACCAAGTTGCAAAAACAACATAAAGGTAAAGGTTCCCTTGCTCGAAAGCCAGTTGAATCTGACTCTAGGGTTGTGGTGCTCATCTCTGTTTCAAAGCCGAAGAGCCAGCGCTGTCCAAAGACATTTCCGTGGTCATGTTGCCGGCATGACTAAACACCAAGGCACACGGAACGCTGTTACCTTACCACTGAAGTGGTACCTATTTATCTACTTGCAGTTTCTTGATTTCGAACTGCTAGGTTGACAAGAGCTGGAACTAGAGACGGGAGCTCACTCCGTCATGCGGCAACTCAGGTATCGAACTGCTGAACTACCGACCTTCCACAGCCTGCAGTTCAGCATCTTAACCACTTGAGCCACCGCAGCTCCATAAAAACAACATAGCAGTCCTTTAATAGACTTTTAAAAATGCACAAGTATAAAATGCACACATTAAAAATGCAGTCAAATCTGCCAAAGCAGTTTATTTTCATCAAATGCCCTCTGAAATAAAATTGTTTTGCATGCCTTCCTGAATGCGAAAAGTGAAGATGCCCACCATACCCACTCTGATAGGCCATTCTAGAGGACTGGACCTACCACAACAAAAGCCCATGTCCTAGCAAGGGTTGCCATCTGCCTGCTGATTCACTCACTCACCCAACAATGCTAATTGTCTCAGCAGGAGAAAGTGTGTGTATCTATGTGTGTGTGTGGGGGGGGATTTCATCCAAACCTGGAAGTGATTGATGGTGCTCAAGGAATCCCCCCAAATAACTATGGTAAAGACCATAAAGATATGGGAGGATTTCTAGAGCATCACCCATAACTTCCAGGTTCAGATGCGATTCCTCCCTAGATTCCCAGAGTGTCACCCATTCCCAGAGTGTCACTGCTGTCTTATAAATAGTAAAGGTTTTACCAGAAACACCCATTATGAGATGGAGGCAGAGATTCATTTGAACTCAAGTTCACCAAGCCTGAGCCCCAGAGACTGTTTTCAGCGTAAAGAGTCAGTCTTAAAACATATACAAAACCTTTGAGTAGAGTATATATCAACTCTCTTTCTCTCAGTTCCTGATAACCATCTTGAGTCTTGTGACCTATACCTTTGAGATAAGAAGTCAGAGCTCCATCTTCCTTATTAGCTTAAGCCCCACAACATTTTCTTAGAAACTAAGCAAGTGAAGGAAGCCAGCCCCACAATGCAGAATTCATGTCCACTGAAAGTCAAATGTTTGCAGAAATGTGTGAAATTCTTATCTTTATAGTAAAAGCAAACAGGTCTTTCTATCCTACAGGGGCTTTATGAGGTGAGCCAACGTAACTTTTCCATCCCAGATCGCAACTGCACAGATTTTTTTGGCATTCCAAGAGTAACCATCTCTCCTTAACCAATTGGAATGTTTATGGACATTCTGTTACATCACAACTAACACAATGGCTAATGAAGACACATGGGCAGTTTTTAATCTTCTAGGGGTAGAGGAGTAAGCCTGTAAAAAATTCATATGCATTTTTAAGCATTTTCATTTAAGCATTTAAGCAACCTTCAAAGACAACCGCTATACCCATGCTTAGTTTTAATTAAAAAAAAAATCAGAATATGGAAGTGAAATTTGAAAATTTTGTTTCCAAGGCTTATATGCCAACGTCGAAGCAAATGAAAAGCTATTTAAGCTCCTACCGTTTTTCCCACCATTGTCACGTTCTGTTTCATTCCCATCTTCTTTATGTTCCTGAGCATCATATTTAAGGGGGTACTTTCTTTCCACCCACCCTCTTTTCCTTAAAGAATTACGGATTACAGGGTAAGGTCCAGAGATGGTAAATATTTTTTTTTCCTAAAATCAAAAGCAAACACAACACTTCAGTCAATATGAAAGGAGATCGATGAATAGGTTCAAGCTTGCTTTACCTACATTCAATCTACAGCTGTTTTGGTGTTTGGCAATCTACAGCAGTTTGGCAATCACTTTGACATGAACACATGGACCTGAGTCAGACCTTTGCTCTATCAAGGTCAGTATGGTCTACTCTGACTTGCTGAGGTGGTCAGGAAGGCCCAGCATTTCTGTCATTTTGCAGAATGTACAAAACATCAATATTCAGGAGGGATTAGAGCAGTAATATAATGGAACAGCTCAGGAGGTCTCTGCTGTAACGGATAATATTGTAGCCTATTGCAATGTTTATTGTACGTATCACCTCCCTTTCTTTAGTGCAGTGTCCTCTACCTTTGTAACACTCCTTGTTCACTGTGGTATTTTATGCCTTAGACAGTTTTTGTTGTCTTAGGCAGCTTTTATTTACATTAGCCATATATACTCTTCTGGGGAGAATGTAAAGTCCCATTTCTCCATTTCTAGGGTTGCTAACATCCAGGTAGGACTTGTTGTTTTCCTGGAATTGCACATGATTTCCAAATCAGATCTCCTGGAGAAAATGGCAGCTTCAGAAGGTGGACTGCATGGTATCAAATCCCCGTTTGATTCCCACCCCCCACCAACCTTTGCCCTCCCCAGGCACTGGCCCCAAATCTCCAGGAATGTTCAAAGCCAAAGTTAGGTACCCTAGTCATTTCATGTGAAACATCTAAATGGAATTGTTTAAAATTATATGATTTTATGATAGTTAATGATTTACATTCTTGTAGAGGACAATTGGAGGGTTCAAGTGATTTTCTATTGATTATTGCTGTTTTACAGGAACCTTTGGGGGGAAGGTCTTTGGGATTCCTGGTGGAGTTGGTGAGCAGTTTAAATCACTAAACACTATTATAAAAGCAGGTGGTTTAAATCATTTTTAATTGACATGTTCCAGTCCTTGTTTCAAAGAAAAGCTCATTATAATTGGGAGTTACGTACAGGTGTTTCTCCCCTGTTAACTCTGCCAATTTCCAATTAAGAACTGTCACAATTTCATGATTTATGGTGGAATCCTTTTGCTTCAAAGAGAATTAGAAGATGTTTTTAAAAGTTCCAAATATAGGTGAAAAGTTTATTGCAGTGGTTTGTGAGTTTTAGCAACTTTAAATAAGGGAAACCCAGATTATGTTTACTCCATTTTCCATTTCATTTATTAGCTTCATTGACCCAAGGTCTTAAGCCAAGCATGCAAACAACAACTATAAAACGCATTACGATTATGTTTACTCTTTAAGTTTGGGATATTGTACTATTGGAGTCTATAAGGAATATCTATATATATTCGCCTTTTTAGCTTATTATTTTAAAGAAGAAAAAGACTCTGTTTGCATTTTTAACTGGAATAACAGAAAGCTCTATTTAATGAATTAAATAGGTGTAATGCCAGTGAAAGGAGTTCTAATTGGAAAGCACCACTGCCAAGGATAAGATTTATTGTTCAATCCTTTATTTCAAAGAGAAGAGCCTAATTGGGGTGAACAAAAGGATACTGTAACAGAGAGAAATCCTTTCTCTTGCTCTAATTGTGTGTTTTTAGAACTTTATGTTATGTTTAAGGCTGAATAGGTATAAAATATTTGTAAAAGCAACTATTTATTAATTTTAAGCTCTGCTATAGAAGGTTATTAAGCTTATGGATAAAATGTTTCTGTATAAGAAAGAAGTAGTTATGTTTTGAGGAGCTGTGTTTAAAGCTAACAAGCTGTTGACAAGAGCAAGAGTTGGAAAATGACCAAGAGCTGGGCCAGGTGTATGGGGACTCCAGCCAACATGAAAGTACATAAATCATGGACAGGTCAATTAAACAAGCTAATTTAAAAGGAGATGTTCCAAAAGGTTTGAGAAAACAAAGTAATCAATCATAAGTTTTTAAGGAATATCAAGCTAATACCGAGAAGATGATGTCACAGAGACCAATCATGCACACCTGCCAAAAGCCAATTAACAAGTACAGAATTTGTAATGTAAAAGAGGACCCTCTGCTGGCTAGAATGAGCTATGTATTTTACAAATTAAAAGCTTTAATCTAGAAATAACTTTATAGGATAACCAAAAATATTCTATAAAATTCCCTGATGAACCAAAAATGAATAATAATGTGTCTACAGAAGCTTTATGACATAGGCCACTTTACAGCATTAGAAAAGTGTACATATAAGAGTTTAATTGATAAAACAATGCTATAATACTGTATTTTTCTAGAAATTCAATGTATTCATGTATTCTTTAATAGAGATAGATCACAAAATGCCAGCAAAGGTGTTTTTGTAACATATATGCCTGTATAAATATAAGAAAACCAATTTTGTAACAGAATGAGTTTCATACTGAAAATGAACTCAGCCGGAGAGTTTGTTCAAAGTTGAAAGGAGTCTGGGAGTATGGCCAAAAAAAGTAAATAAGATCAGTCAAATATAATGAGCACTGCACCTGCATTGTGGGAGTTGAGACACAGCCAAGTAACATCCTGTGTGTCAAATATGTGATTGATGACTGGCCAGACAAAGAAAACTGAACTGAGCATGTCTAAGTTATGTCAGTTATGATGTAAAGTGAGAAGGAGCAAGAAGAGTATATAAGTCTGCTTTCTGTATTTGCTCATTGAACACCCACGCTGAGTTTTAGCCATGAGGTGCTCCTTATTAGAATAAAAATACTTTTGTTACCCTTTGCGCCTGGATGATTGTTTTAACTGTGTGGTTTATCGGCTAGCCACACAAGTCAAAGAACCTTAGCACCCTTAGCGCATTGGCAACATTCTCATTGCTGGGGGGGGGGAATGGAAACTGTGGATAAGGGAAAAATCAGTACATGCACTTATTGAATGACACAGGCTGCAGAAGAAAAAAGAATTAACTTATACTGTCAACATTAGAAAAGGATGTATTTAAAATTATTATATAGACACCATTAAGCAGATATACCACAGCCCACATCGATAACCTCCGTGCTAACCCATAAACTTGGTGTAGTGGTTAAGTGTGCGGACTCTAATCTGGGAGAACCGGGTTTGATTCCCCACTCCTCCACTTGCACCTGCTGATGTGACCTTGGGTCAGTCGCAAGCTCTGGCACAGCTGTCCTTGAAAAAGAGCAGTTTGTGTTAGAGTTCTCTCAGCCCCACCCACCTCACAGGGTGTCTGTTGTGGGGAGGGGAAGGGAAAGGAGTTTGTAAGCCACTCTGAGACACCTTTGGGTAGTGAAGGGCGGGGAATAAATCCAATCTCTTCTTCTTCTTCTTCTTAAACAGGTCTGTTTTGCAGCCCCATTAGAAGGCCCAAGGGTAGGTGCCTGCCTCATCCTTTCCCAGAGGCTGTTCCACAGCATCGGGGCAACAACAGAGGGCCCAGTCTATAACACATCATATTCTTGAGAGCAGAGGAACTGCTAGAAGACCCTGTTGTAAAGAACACAATTGCCACCTGATCATATCAGGAGAGACAACCCTTTTATTCATGTTGGTTAATTTTGTGGTCATAAAATCAACAAATGAGGCTGATGGGTAGGGCAAAAATGCAATAAATAATTTAAAAAACAGTGTTAATAAAAACATGCTGCTAATCATATATACCCTGATGGCCTTTTCCGTTAAAAATCTCGCCAGCTTGTATTTGTCTATTTTGGGTGGTGGTGGCAATTCATCCACAGCTTTCTGGGTTAGATCTAAAAATAAAAATATTGTCAGATTACCTTTTGCAGAAAGTGTTAAATGCAAAAAGAGGAATTCACAATTAGATTATTGAATAAATCTATGTTTCAGTACTCATTCCTGTGCATTCATAACCTGGACAGAAACAAAAATTTAGTGCTAGGTAGATGGAACATTTCAAATTTTTCATTCTCATTCGTTTGACCCAAAACCCCACATTTCCATTTTGCTTCTTTGTGCAAGTGATACCCATCATTCTTTATTTTTGTACCATTCTCTATTTCTTTGTATTTAATTTTCCTATAAAATATTAGACTTTTTCAATATCTGTGCATCAGTAAATCAGTATTGGTGGGGAAAAGGTTTAATGCTCCTCTAAGGAATATTCTGTTGTGTTTTTTAAAGGACACTCACTCTCTCCATGGCCCAGAGGAGGATCCCAGGATAACACTCACTTGTCAATTCCAAGCTCCTTTGTCCTGTGCATATAAGAATCTTCCTTGCCTCTAAAATGGGTATGCTTTTTCCTATGTGCATGCAATTTGCATGGAACATCTCACGAAGTCATGATGAGAGTTATTGCCCCTTAAGAATCCCAGTTGGGTGAAAAATCAAAAAAAAAAAAGTTACAGGCAATGTTCCCTCTAAACTGTGGAGTCTTGTGAGCAAAAATTCTACTTTGTGAGCTACTGGCATTAAAGTTGTGAGCAGGTGATTTGGCAGCTGCATGACTGAGTTTGCTCTGGAGCCCCGTCCTTCCTGAGCCAAGACAAAAATGTGTGAGCTAGAGTCTAAAAAACTATGTGCTAGCTCACACCAACTCAGCTTAGAGGGAACACTGGTTACAGGTATAAATGTTTCTCCCATTGAACAGAATGGAAATGGAAATAAATAAAATAACAGAAAGCCCAAATACATACATCCATGTATGCAAGGACTGGGGATTCTTTCTGTGTTCCCCTCCCCACAGCAGCCCTTTTTGACCCTGAGAAAATGGATCCCTAGAGTTGTGGGATTCATGGGGATATGCAGGATGGGGAGAGGCATGGGGGGGGGGAGTGCCAGCTTCACCTCCTCAATGCCGCCCCTAGCCAGGATTACCAACATCCAGATGAGCCCTGAAATTACAGCTGATCTCCAGATGAAAACAACAGCTGGGGAGGATGGACTCTGTGGCATTATACCACAGTGAGCACCCTCCCCTCCCCAAACTCTGCCTCCCCCAGGCTTAACTCCCCAAATCTCCAGGAATTTCTCAGCCTGGATTTGGCAATCCTAACCCATGTGGCTCTTAGTCCCCATGGATCCTACAAACCCAGAAATTAGCTTTCCCTCAACTGGAAGGGACTGTGGGAGGGAAGAGAACGAGGGAAATATCCACGATCATTCGTGCCTTCCCGTGTCAGACTACATGATCCTAGTCAATGTACATTTTTTTCAGATATCTTAAAGAACAATACAACTCAAGTAAAATCCTTTGCACAGCCTTATTCCCTAGTTTCTACTTCACTGCCCCACATAGAATGCAGCTTTATTGGAGCGTTTCCACTTTTGGAATGTTGCCAAGGGAGAAATGTGGAAACAAATACATTTACAATGAGGAACATTCCACGCTGGCTGCAGCTGAAGAGGCTGAAGGATTCTATTTCTGAGGTCATTTTGGAAAGGGTTGTTGTGGGATTGCTCTCCTGGATCAGCGATCCTTAATTACATGTGCAGGAGACCCCAGGTTGATTCAGTTACACCTCCTTCTTGACCTTAAATCACTGTGGGTTTATAATGAATTGTGAAGCTTTCCTGATCGTAACACTGGAATTTTTCCTTGCAAATGAGGTAAGCCTGTAAATTTATTTTTGCAAAGTTACACTCATGCTTGTGAGTCAATGGGTTTGGTTTCATGGTGAAGAGGGAAATGAGGTGGAAAGGCCATTAAGAAAACTAGAGGAACATCCAGCTACACGAAGCAGGGGAAACGATAAGAAAAGCCTTATAGTATTAATCAGTTTCACGTCTGTGACTCATGTATTTCTTACCAGAAAAGGAGCTCTTGTAATTGATTTTGCCTTATTTAACCATGGGTTAATAATTAATAATAATTATCATATGGCATTGTGTGGAGAATAGTCGGAAGATCCTAAGATTGTCTGGCAGTTAGAAGCTCTAGCTTTTTTAGCATTATGCACCACTAGGTGGTGGGCTAGACATGTTTTTAAGGCAAGAGACATTTCAGAGGTGGTTTGCCATAGCCTGCCTCTGCGTCACAACCCTGGTAGTCCTTGGAGACATCCTTGCACTTTCAAATACTAGCCAAGGCCGAATCTGCTTAGCTTCCGAGATCTGATGGGATTGGGCTAGCCTGGGCTATTCAGGTAAGGGCATGGGTTGAGCCCTCTTGATTACAGGGCCATAGGCAAGCCTTCCTTGCTAGGTGGGGATGCTACATTTCCAGAAGAGGCTTCTAAGAAAACTCAAGAATCTTAGGTACATCTAATCATCTATGCATGGTTAGTGAAAAGTACTGAGACTTACTAGCCATTTCAGCTCTCATACTTTATTTCAGCTTGGAACAAGACAACTCTAACCAACTCACAGGCCAGTTTACATGTGCAACAATCCCACACCCAAAACACACCCACACACAAGTGATTGACTATTTACAGTGGCCGAGAGTTCCATAGGCTCTCGGCTGGAAGCCTAGCCCGCCAATAGGTGCCGGCTAGGATCCGCTTGTCCCATTGTTACTGCGAGCGAAGCTCGGCCGCTTCGCATGACCGCGTGGCGACTTAGCCACACATGCGGTTAGAGATGGATACATTACACCCCTCCCCCCTTGGTCCAAAAGACACACACACACAAAGTCCTGCAAATAGGAGGGTGCTTTACGGGTCCTCGTTGAGCGGCGAGGCATGGGAACCAGGGCAGAAAGTGACACTGTTGCACTCGGCTGCGAGATGGGCGGTGTTGGCGGCCGTGGTGCTGGTAGCTCTGTTTCTTGGGGCACGGTCGGGCTGTCTGTAGGAGAATCAGGGGTTGCCTCATTTTGCCTGGCAAGGGTGTCCGGTAGCTGAGGTGGAGTGGGAGTTTCCGGAGTGTTGGGGTCCTCAAAGTCCTCCGGGTCGTATGGCAGTACCCGCCGCCACAGTTCCCATGTGACACCATTGCACTTGGCTGCGAGATGGGTGGTGTTGGCGGCCGTGGTGATGGTAGCTCTGCTTCTCGGGGCATGGTCAGGCTGTCTGTAGGAGAATCAGGGGTTGCCTCATTGTGCCTGGCAAGGGTGGCAGTACCCGCCGCCGCAGCTGATCGATGTGGTGGTGTAGAATCTGCCCGTCCTCGCTGGAGACCTCGTACGACCTGGGTCCCCGGACTCTCACCACCCGGGCCGGAATCCATGGCGGTCCTTGTGCATAGTTCCGGGTGTAGACCGGGTCCTTGGGAAAAAACCCTGTGGCTGCCTCAGGTGACTCCATGGCCGGTTCTTCTTCCGGGCCTCAATCGGGATGAAGGCGATCCAGCCTTGTCGTCAGGCACCGGCCCAAGAGCAGCTCCACTGGGCTGCGTCCCGTCGCAGTGTGGGGCGTTGTTCTCTAGCCAAAGAGGAATGCTGCCAGCTTGTAGTCCCAGTCCTTGCTATCCAAGCGGTGGAGTGCATCCTTGGTCATCCGAACCATGCGTTCGGCTTGGCCATTGGTCGCTGGGTGGAACGGGGCCGATCTTACGTGGCGAATTCCGTAGTAACGGGTGAAGTCCTGGAATTCGCTCAAGGTGACTTAGACTTACTAGCCATTTCAGCTCTCATACTTTATTTCAGCTTGGAACAAGACAACTCTAACCAGCTCACAGGCCGGTTTATATGTGCAACAATCCCACACCCAAAACACACCCACACACAAGTGATTGGCTGTTTACAGTGCCTGAGAGTTCCATAGGCTCTCAGCCGGGAGCCTAGCCCACCGATAGGTGCCAGCTAGGATCCGCTTGTCCCATTGTTACTGCGAGCGAAGCTCAGCAACTTTGCATGACTGCATGGCAACTTAGCCACACACGTGGTCAGAGATGGATACATTACAGTTAGCATTAGAAATTTATTAACTGCATAGAACATTCGTGTTTTTAAGTTCATCTCCCTTAATTTAAAATATGTTCCTTAAATTACAACCCTTTAAACACCCTGTTAAACTCAATCACAGTAGGTTGGATACTGCTCACACAAGGACTGTACCTGTGTCCTACATTTCACTCCCTCTAACACTTGGTGAATGGATTCCCAAGATTTGGGGACCTGGGTAAACTAATAGCTACACAGTTCAAGGGGCTTGCAGTAAGGAGGAGAAGGGGGAGAAATCCTCTTTTCTCTTCCAGAAGTGTGACTCCATGAATTGAAGAAGTAGGAAGGACAATTCCCCCTTCCCCACTGATGGACTAGTTTTTCATGCAGATCCCACAACTGAACCAGGAGGGATCTTGGGTGGGCCGAGTGGTGGTACAATCTGGAGATCTTTTGTGGGGGGAGGCAACATTCACTTACATTTTCTCAAGTAGAAGTATTCTAAAAAAGACATTGTTACAATGGAAGTTGTGACATCACAAAATTAAAAAGTCTATATTAAAATTCTTAAGTGGGACCAATCATTACTCCAAGCGGGGTGGTGCAAACACTCACCCTGCTCCAGCAGCCCCTGATTGATTAGGCTAAAAATCATAGACTGTTGCCAATCAAGAGGCCATTATTTTGAATTTATTATTTACTCTACTTCTACTCCAAAAAGAGTACATGATTTCCCTTCACCACCTTTTACCTCATAACATCCCTGTGAGGTAGGCTGTACTCACAGACATTTTATGATCCTAAATTATTCATTGACCAAGTCAAACTCAAGTCCAACTATGACCATGGCTACAATCCAGAGATGCCGCGGTGGCTCAGAGGTTAAGACGCTGAGCTGCAGACCAGAAGGTCTGTAAGTCAGCAGTTCGAGACCCTAGTACCACGTGACGGAATGAGCTGCCGTCTCTGGCCCCAGCTCCTGCCAACCTAGTAGTTTGAAAGCAAGAAATTGCAAGTAGATAAATAGGTACCACTTCAGTGGGAAGGTAACAGCATTTCATGCGCCTCGGTGTTTAGTCATGCCAGCCACATGACAATGGAAACGTCTTCGGACAGCACTGGCTCTTCGACTTGGAAATGGAGATGAGCACTGCCCCCTAGAGTTGGATTCGATTAGCTTTCGAGCGAGAATAACCTTTACCATTACAATCCAGAGAACTGGTTCATGCCCACCTGAGGGCAGGTACATCAGGTTTTTAACTTTTTTCCCATGGAACAGCAGTTCCCATGCCACAGCACAATCTGACACTGAAACTTCCTCAGAATTACTGACTTCCTTTGCTTTGTTGGTACAGCATGGTATTGTAATGTATCAAGCTCTGATCGCATGCGTGGCAAGGTTGCCACGCAGTCATGCGAAGAGGCCAAACTTCACTCGCAAGAACAAAGAGCCATGTGGCTCCTAGCTCGCCCCAATCAGAGGGCTAGGCTCCAGGCCGAGAGCAGTTCCCATGCCACAGCACAATCTGACACTGAAACTTCCTCAGAATTACTGACTTCCTTTGCTTTGTTGGTACAGCATGGTATTGTAATGTATCAAGCTCTGATCGCATGCGTGGCAAGGTTGCCACGCAGTCATGCGAAGAGGCCAAACTTCACTCGCAAGAACAAAGAGCCATGTGGCTCCTAGCTCGCCCCAATCAGAGGGCTAGGCTCCAGGCCGAGAGCCTATGGAACTCTCGGCCACTGTAAATAGCCTATTACTGGTGTGGGGGTGTGATTGGGGTGTGGGCTGTTTGCCCTTATAAACAGCCTGCGAGCCGGTAGTTCTTGTCTTGTTCTGAGCTGAAATAAAGTATGAGAGCTGAAATCGCTAGTAAGTCTGAGTACTTTTCTCTGGCGACGAGGATGGGATACTACCTCCCATGAACAACGACCCAGACGAAGATACGAGCACCGCATTGAGCCCCAGCACCGAGACTGCCGCACGCGGCTCTGCTTTGTGCCCTGGTTCTCCGGTTGCCGCTCACTGCACCGCTCCTCGCTCCGTACCTCACCCTGCTGACCCCAAGAGCAGCAGCGCTCCAAGCTTCGCGCCAGCCACCGCTGCCTCCGTTCCTAGCTTCACCCACCACGTGTCAGCAGTAAGATGGCTACATTCCAGGAAAGCATTGCCGCCTTTGACATCTCCTGCCCCACACAGTGGGAGTCTGGGAGATATGGCTCGAGATCCTGGAGAGCTACTTCAACTGCCACAACATCGTAGACCCGGGTAAGAAGAAGCCACACCTCCTCCAGTCCTGTGGCATAGACACCATCTTGCTGCTCAAGGACCTAATTGCGCCCAAGCAGACCAAGGACGAGTCCTATGTGGTGTTGGTGAAAGCATTGTCCAACCACCTTTCACCAAAGTCCACAACGTTTGCTAAGCACATGGACTTCTTTGCGTGAGTCCAGGGTCCAGACGAGTTGGTTTACGAGTTCTTGGTCAGGCTCCGGCGGGCAGCCACCAGGTGCTCTTTTCCCAACCTGGCGGATGCCTTACTAAACCAGTTCCTCTTTGGTCTCCCAAACTTTGGAGGAAACTGGTTAGCCAGGATGACCTGGACCTAAATAAGGCACTCCGTGAAGCCGCGGCCTATGAAAAGGCACATCAAGACCGCCGCGTAAAGGCGGTCCATCACACTCAAGCAGCCCTCGAGTCGGATAACTCCGAAGACGAGGAAGTGCTTCAGGTCCGCTGCCGCTCATCCCGACAGCAGCATTGCCCGGTGGGACCTTCCTCGGCCAAGGCCTCCTCTTCATCGTCATCCTGTGCCAGTTGCGGAGATGCACATGAATGCCGGGCTTGGCGTTTCAGAAACGTCATCTGCTTTTCCTGTAACAAGCCGGTCCATCTTGCCAGGGTCTGCCGCTCCCATGGACAGCCCCAGAAGACTTCAGCCCACCAGACCTCGGCAGATCTCCACACGGACCTTCATACCCTTTCAGCCCTCCACCAGCAGCACCAGGTATGTAACTTGCCCCCCAATAGCCCCAATAAGGTGCACGTAACGGTGTTAATAGAGGGGTCCCCCTGCAAAATGGAAATAGACCCTGGGTCGTCCTTCTCCATTATTTCCGAGGAGACACTGCTCTCGCTCTGCCCATGGGGGGGACCCCCTCTGCGAAAGCCACAGGGATTTAAGTTGAGGGACTTTAACAAGAACCCTGTGGCGGTACGGGGCTGAGGCAAGTTCAGTGCAGTTTAAAGACTTTTGCAGACAATTGGACTTGCTGGTGGGGGGGAGGCTCTCCAGTTTGCTGGGACTTTCATGGTTCAGGCCTCTGGGATTAACAATCACGTGGATAAACCAGATCTGGGCAGAGGAGTTTGCGGGTGTGTGCAATGGGTTCCCCGGGGGTTTTGACAGCACACTCGGCCGCTACACCAGGCGCCCCATCTCCCTCAACCTCAATCCGGCCATACGCCCCATCAGGGTAAAGGCCAGGCACACACACCCCATCGCTATGAGGCCTAGGATCGAGGCAGAGCTCGATCGGTTGGTGGAACAGGGGGTGCTAGTTCCGGTCGCTTCTGCCCGGTGGGAGACCCCGATAGTCACCCCGGTTAAACCCAATGGGGACGTGCGCATTTGCGCTGACTCTAAGTGCACGTTGAACAAGGCACTACAAGACCAGGCGTACCCGGTACCAGTGGTCACCCACATGCTCGCAGCTCTGGCGGGAGCCCGGGTTTTCAGCAAATTAGACTTGGCCCAGGCGTACCAGCAACACCCGGTGGATGCCGCCACTGCCGAGGCCCAAACGATTGCGACTCACAAAGGGGCTTTTAAAGTTCATCGGCTCCAGTTTGGGGTGTTGGTTGCGCCAGGCATTTTTCAATTGTTTATGGACAATTTGTTAAAAGGGATCCCCGGAGTTCAGCCATTTCTAGATGACGTGCTCATCGTGGCCCCGAACACATCGACCTTCGCCGGCCAGCTTCGGGCAGTGCTCCAGCGTTTCGACTCAGCCGGCCTGAAGGTCAAGCATGAAAAATGGCTACCCGGGGTTCCCAAGGTGGAGTTCTTGGAGTTCGCCGTGGACGCCCAGGGTATCCACCCCACTGACGAAAAGACCAAGGCGATCACGCTGGCTCCCCCGCCCACGTCCAAGACTGAGTTACAGGCTTTCCTTGGCCTGTTAAATTTCTATCACTCCTTCTTACCCCTGAAGGCAGCTGTGGTGGAACCTCTACACCGTCTGCTAGACAAAAACGCCCCTTGGATCTGGGGGCCTGAGCACGCCGCCGCTTTCCAAGCTGTGAAGGACCTCCTGGTTTCTAACTCGGTCCTTTCACATT